GGTGGTGGTGCCGCGGTTGTCGGTGGCGGCGGTGGGGTGGTTGTGGGCTCTGGGTAAGGTCCCAGTCCCCCTCCAATGTTAATGTTGGCCGTACCGCCGTTACCACCATTGCCACCGTTGCCGCCATTACCTCCATCGCCATTAGTAGCGTCGCCGCCATTGCCACCCGCGGCTCCATTTCCACCCAGTGCTGCTTCGATCGATATGTCATACCCATCAGGGACCACTGGGCGCACTCCGGGCACCAAACATATACAGACTATCAATATATAGGCGAAAGGAATAATGAAAACTTTCATTATTTACAATCCTTTCGACCGATACTTGCGTTTACAGCGAATGTAACGAAAAAGTGGCAAATTATTGCCAATTTATATGAGCTGCCAGTGCTGGGTGGGGATCATTAATTATTTAATTGGGCACCGTATGGCAAAATATATCAACTCAGCTGGCAGTGCTAGTTTAACGCGCGCGATATATTTCTACTCTAAAGTCACCAATAGTATTTTAGATTTACGTAATACAAGTATACATCCATGTGTAGGCGCTCCCCCAGTTTACATAGACATTCACCTAAACAGTAAATGTAACAAGGAGTTTTTCTATTTAATTATGTCATTGTACTTTTATATAGATTTAGTGCTACTTAATTAAATGACATAATCTGGTTATAATGGTTACAATTGATAATTATACAAAATTTAATTAGTGTTTTTTGAGCTAAAAATAGACATCGAAAGATTGAGCCGGGCTAACTACTGAAATGTGTTACCTTATTAAAGTCGACGAGTTGTTTTTTCAGTTCATATCCTATTAAATACAATTAGCAAACATATGTCAAGATATTTTTGGCGTCAGACAACTATTAAATCTCTGTCTAAAAATACTAAACATAATAATTATTATAGTTTTATGATATAGTGTACCTAGATAATTTAGTACTGATACTACCGTTAAATAAGCAGCAATCAACTTGTAATCAAATTAATTTATTTCATTAAAGTGATTGAACTGTAAATTAATTGAAGTATAATACTATAAAAATTTTATTATACATGTATTAATATTACAAATTGCATTGTATTTTGGTATCAAATAGTATTTTCATTGCATAACAATGTGCTTGAAAAAGTGAGCAAATACAATTGCATATAAATTACAACTAATAATAACTAACTTTAATTATACTACTATACTACCTAGGCAAATCTCTACAATAGCAGTACTTCCGCAAAAGTTTACTATCGACACAATGGGACTGATTTCTATACATATTAATCCGGGACACCTCACCCATCACCTGCATGTCTCCCGTATCACTATCGACACCTACCGTCGCCTCGAACAGCGCGCGACTGGGGCTCACCCTAACGGTCACCAAATAGTGGCGATACGTGGCGCGTGTCTTACGACCAAACGTCACATATTTGGCGCAATCCTTGCGATCGTTGTCGCAGTCAACGAAACGCATGAATTTGTCGTTAAATCGCTGCTCGAAAGCCGATTCGGTTGTGTCGAGCGCCAACCGGTGACAGATGGCGACACTGTCGGACAAAAGTGTGTTCAGCTCCCGGACCACGAATTCGGATATTTGGCGCACGTGACTGAGGTCAGCTACCGGGGTGCTCGACTGACAGGCGCAAAAGTGGGCTAGTATGGGCACCGATTGGCAGCTCCGGGACTCTGGCACCTCATCGAGCAGTGACTGTCCGTATTTTAGTGTGCTATTCGGTCGGCCTATTAGTGGATAATTTTTTAAAAATTTAAATTTAAAATTTAACAATATTATACCATTCAATAAGTACGTATACAAATGTTAATTTTTTGGGTAGATTTAAAAATATAACCCTTTATTTAATGTGATTGGTCACATTTATTAATATGTAATCAAAACATGTTGAATACGTACTGATTGAATGTCTCACACACACAATACCCTCGATAATGTGCTTAAGGGTGGCGTGAATGTCGAAATGGGTGGTCAACCGGTGCTCATTGATAGACATGTTAGGTGTGCGCATACGCGGCGGTAGGTATATATGCATAGCCGGTAGTCTGTCCTCGTATTTACCGGACAGGGTCTCCCGGATTGACCCAAACCTAATGCCGTGATCCGAGAATAATACGAGAACAGTGTTATCAAGCAAATTTTGTGTATATAGTCGAGTGACCAGTTTGGCGATAATAGGGTCGAGGTAACCCGGGGCGTTTAGGTCCTCGTGGGTTAGCCGGGACATGAAGTGATAGGCAAAATATTTGCGCCCCCTATCGGTCATTGTTTGTATGAAATCGTATAAATAGTCGTAATATAGCTATAAGTTTTACAAAAAAATATAAAAGTTTTATTAATGTTAAATAAACTATATTTTTTACTACTATAGAATGACCACCAGTATATAACTATTTAATAGTAACAATTAATACGCTTGGTCACTTTATGAATGTGTTTGTTATGTATAATAGTTACCTCGACTTCAGGCTTATTATAATAGCAATTATCATACGTATTGTCGTTAATGGACTGAAAGTAAGGTCTTAAGTAGTAATCCGTGGGCGGCTTATCGAAACCGACCCGTCTCCAATTAAACGTATTGTAGCTAGGTCCGTCCTCCATGTACAAGGTTAAATACCCTCGTTGTTTATATTCCTATTATAATAACAAATTAAATAATTTTAAACTAAATAAAAAAATTATTTTAAAAATGTATATATGTTTTGAGTGGGTCATTCACAAAATGCATAAAATTTTTGGCTCACTTTCCATATGAAAGGAAAGTAGTCTAAGGGGACGCCCTTCATGCGAGTCTCATCCCATATGTCGTGCACGTACTGCCCGGTCAACTGCGGGGTGAGGTTTGGGAAGGTATTGTCGCCCACTTTGTTGAACCCATACATCGTGTGGAAACCGAGTTTGGCTACCAGTGCGCTCGTTATGGGGAAATGGCGGTCAAAGTTGAGCCGCGAAACCGAGTCGATACCCATAAACAAAATATTTGGCAAATGCTCCGGTACTTGGTCACTTGAGTGTATTATCGGTATGAGCGGGATAACTCGGTCAACGATATCTGTTATATTTTGGAAATAATTTTTAAAAATAATATGAAAGTAAATAATTAAATATAATTAAAACATAAATTATATAGATAGACAAATGTTAGTATTGTATCAATATAAAATAATATTCTGCAGTCTAAAAATATGTATTAATTAATAGAGATATTAATAAATAAATTAATTAATACATATTCTAGTCTTAAACCAAACTTGTCAATTTTTCTAAATATTTATATTAGTTATAAATAGAATATTAATTGTTTACAGTTTGCATAAACTATTTAGTAAAATGAAACTTTTAGTTTATTTTATATAGTATAAATGTATGTATTTATTAATTAATACATATTAATATATTTCATATGCCCCCCAAGCACACAACAGTTAACTGCATTTCATTTTTTAAATAATAGTAAAGTCACTAATGTATTTAGCAATTATTTAATATACAGTATATAATATTATACTATAAGTGCTTAAAACAGTATAAACTTAATACTGTATAAAGTATAATAAAAACCTAACAAACAAATATAACCCATTACTTATTTATTGTATAAAAATAGAAACATATTAAATGAACAAGCCCATATACTCACTTGTTTGATATAAATTAAAAAACGATGGATAATCACCCAGACGTGAACACTGAACACGTACCACCAAATCACCGGGAAAATAGTTCACCCGGCTATCATCAAATTTAGTGAGCTTGGTAAAATAAAAGCGATCATCGTCCACGCGCACAAGTCTACCCACGTAGCACTCGATGGTGTCGTTCCCCGTATTTGACACTTTAATACCCGTGCCGTTAAACCTCGCGATACTAACGGCGCGCTCCAATGGATTGTAGGGGTCTTTACAGGCGATACTTTTGCCCGATTTGTTGGCGTATAGGGTGACGACGTCGGTGTCAAATAGTGGCCATCGGATTATACGGCAATAAGGGGTGTTCACTAAGTACGGATCGTTTTGACCTTAAATTAAATTTTGTAAATAATTATCAAGTTGTTAATTTAGTTGTCAATGTGGTCAATAGTTGTAAATAGTATGCAGTATCATCCATTTTTCTACCAAGTGTATTTTTAAATGTCAAGTGTGTTTAATTAGTTTCATATTTAGTTTACAAATTATTGAAAATTTATAAATTGTCAATGTATAGGTAGCAATAGTAAACATAGTACTGTATTTTTATTAAAAGTATGTAAAACTGTAAATTATAAATACTTCAATGTAGATAGCCTTTTAACAATAAAGTTATATAAATTAATTGGATTATTAAATTTATTATAAACATTATAAATTTTTAATTTAGACATACTTTTGAACTATACTATTAATTACTAAATGCTAAAATTTTTTAATATTTAAGATTTAGGTTTCTCAAAATAAATAAATAAATAAACACCAATATAACTTTTATTTTATTTTGTATTAACTGTCAAAACTTTTTATATATTTATAATTTACAGTTTGACTATTTATTTCAATTAATTTT